TTTTAAAGTAATAATTTACGTTGATCATCAGCAGGGTGATTTTCTTTTAACGATCTGTAGTTTTGGTTTGACTCCTATTTAGACAACATGACTGTGCTGATTTAATGTTAGGTTCAGCCTTGCATAGAACAGAGTGTTTTCCTAATATGATTAGTTTTCCTAATATGATTTTGCTACTAAAGGAGTAGGTCAAGGAACTTTATTTGCTCTTTCTCTGGGCAGACTGTCATCCCTGTTAAGAGTTGCCGGTGCTCCTCCTCTATGTCAGTGAGAGTTTACATAGTTGCCATAGTATAAACTCAATTCTGTTTTAACTGTGACTTGCCCTTTTATTATAGTCCTGACTAGAGAGACTGCCCCGGTGTAAATGAAGTGCTTTATCTATGAACAGCCAGGCAGCGGGGGCGAGAGCTTGTGGTGCTGGCAAAAGCTCCACCAGGCACTGGTAAGAAAGGCTTTCTCTAGGGGCAGATTGCCGAGCACTGAAAGAAGGAAGCAGTAGTAAACAAGGTGTTTTACATTCAGGACAGTTTCTCTCTCATCTTAAAGTGTGTAATTGTGTTCTGGATAAAACATGGAAATAAAAAAAATCAGAAGTTGCTCATAGGCAAATAACCCTCTTTAAAAGCAAGTACATTTTCCAAGGTAGAGCCAGTATGAACCGTGGCATCAAAGCCTGATGCTGGCTGGTAAAAAATGCAAGCTATATAGGCCGGAGAATCTAATAGAACCAGGTTCAAGCACCAGCTTGGCCACTTAGCTGAATGACATCAGGCAGCTCATTTAAATCTCTCTGTCTCAGGTTTTTCATCTTTAAAGTGGGGATACTGAAAACTCCAGGATTTTGAGAGAGAAAAGTATGTGAAACATCCTGCACAGTGCCCAGCCCTGGTTAAACATTTGTTCCCTTCCCCATGTCTCATTTAATATTTGCCCTGTCACCTCCCTATGGTGGCCATATTGTTGACTGAATAGATTCCAATCTGGGCAAGTATTTTATGTAATGTCACTGAAATGGAGTTTATAGCAAAATGAGGTTCTAGGAAAGAATCTGTAAACTATGTTAATTGAAGATTGAATTTGTAGGGGATTTATGTGCCCTGTGTACCTCCGCACTCCAACAACTCTGCTGTCATGGTCATTAATGTCATGGTCTTGTCATTTAGTAATCATAAAAATAAATTTTATCTTTCTTTAGACAATAAGCTTTCTCTCTTCATTGTCATGAATGTCCTAACAACCTCTAGTTTACTACAGGGGGCTTGCTTGTAAGTGAATGGGACTCTCCAATGCCATAGTTTTATTTTTAGAAATTGTCTGGCAAATCTGGGAGTTATGGGAAATATAGTTGCTTATACAAATTAAAATCCAGTTTGATTCTTTCTCCTAAACCTCACTCATATACACTGATTAGCAGTCAAAAATGTCTATACATGCCAGACATTGTTCTACCCTAAAAATAAATTATCTTGCTGTTAACAGCCTTATTTAATGGCTACAGTATATTGTACTTATTTGATTTCTTTTGCCCAGAACATGTGCTGTTTCTGCTGTGACATTATATCTACTAATTGAGTTTTCAAATATCAGAAAGGTTTTAAAAATGGATTAAGAAAGGCACCAAAGTTGCCTATTTGTACCCTTCTGCTACACATCAAATCGTGTTTTGTAGCAACCTAATTGTCATGATATCTATTTCAAGGGGAAATTTATCAAGTCACAGTGCACCCTTCTGTTTGGAAGAAATATTTGAGGATGTGAGCTGAGATTATTTTTACATAAAGGCTTCAGGCAGTTTGGAGTACTGACATACATACCGTATTTTCATCACTGTCATTCACTTCCTTTGCCTCAAATAAATAGGTCATTATTATTCCTTTGCAGCCATCTTATGGCGCCTTAAAGTGTGGAACTCTGTTTAACATAACTGCCGTCCAGCTGACCCATATAATTTATTGGTGATTTTTACAGAATGACATCCTTGGGCCACCACCATCAACCAAGGCCCTTTGATATCTTTCAGCAAAATATTTCATTATCACTTATAATTTTTAGTGTTAGTATTATAACCATGTTAACATAGCTAGGAATTGGCATTTTCTGAGACACCTGGATTTTAGGTTAGCCTTAGCAATTTTAGAAAATAATACAGTCATGATGATGATACCACCATGGATTTGCAGAGCACATTATACGTCAGAGCACAGCAAGGGCAAACATTTGCAGATGGAAAAATTTTACCTGAATGATTTGCTCAGTAGTGACACATTAAAATGGTCTGGCCTTATGGTACTTAATTGTAAGTGATAATTAAGAATGTTCAGACTTTTCTAGAAAACAAACAAAACCTCATTCTGTTTTATTGTTGTCATTACTTAAAAGACAAAGTCATGGACAACACACCTCTTTTTCCATCCCTATATACATGTTTTGTAACCTTAATATGAATGTGGTATGCTACTCAGAATATACTAGCCTTAGGATTTCAATAAAGAGCTAAAATTAAGCATATAGTTATTTCCACAGAAACTATTCTATTAAAAACATAATTGAATTGCAACTGGCCTTAAGTCCCATTGGCTGCAAGATAGTAGTCAGGATTTGTAAGGCCTTCATTTATGTTGACGTGATTACTGCCTGTCACCAGGCCTTTCCACATGTACCTTTTGTAAACGGAAGATTATTTATTTTGCTAATATACTTCCTTTGATAGAAGAAATCCCTCCCAAACCCGGTAAGACCCCATTTGGTATTCTAGTCTCCTCAAAGAAAGTCCTATGATATAAGACAGTTATAGCACTTGAATCACACCATTTAATTTTTTCTTAATTTTCTTAGTAGATTGCATTACCTGAGGCTGTAAGAGTGGTGGCCTTTCTATACGCACTTTTGCCAGGGCCAGCAAAACCACCTTGAAAAGCCTGCATGATTATGGTAGGAATTTTCTCCTTGTTCTTTTCTCCAATCTGGGAATAAGCTTTCTCCAGCTGGGTTCTGAATTCTGTTTGTCACAGTAATCCACTAAGGAAAAAATAAGCATCCGTTCATTTTTTTTCTGATCACCTTTTCTCTTTGTTGTTATTCTGTAATACTGCTGGATCAAGCTGGGGGAATTTACCCTCTCACTCACTACAAGCCCAGTGGGCCTGCGTTCTCACACCCGGGTTAATTCCCTGGATCACAGAGCTCGAGGTTGGGTTTCATTTTGGTCTGCTCCTCAAGCGCCAGAAATTTTTGTTTATCTGTGGCCCTGATAATTTTTTTTTCCTTATCCTTGTAGTTTCCTCTCTTCTAATCCTCTGCCAGGGGCTGATCTATTTCTAGGTGGATTTGCCTTAGACCCATCTTAGCCACCCCTCTCACACTTTCCCAGTGTGTCCTAGCAGGGGGAAAAAAAAAGAATCCTACAACAGAAGTATGATAGCAGGTGGAAACCCTCCATTCATTCTAATTGCATCTCTATACTGTCTCAAATTTTCTTTAGATGAGTATTTATCTTTGACCTTTGTTTCTTTATGTGGCAACATTTTTTTAAAGAGCAAATATTTTCTGCCCCTGAGTTGGTGTAAAATAGCTGCATTGGGAGGTCCTTGAGAGCAGGAGCCTTTATTCTTGAATCCACACTACTTCCAGTGCATAATGGCTTAATAAATCTTTGGATTTGATGTCTAGAGAAATGATGATGATGATGATGATGATGATGATGTTGATGATGATGATAGCAGCAGCAGCCGCTGCTTATTCAGTTTTATGAGAAACTAGACACAGTGCTAAATGCTCTGTATTTACTACCCTTTTTCATTCCCCCAATCAGCCCTGTGAGAGAGTTTTTAATTACTATCCCCATTTTTCAGATGGGAAACTGGCTCAGGAACTTTAATTAATTTTCCAGAGGTCACACAGCTAAAAAGCCACACAACTAAAAAGGAGTCTCTCCCTCCCGTTCCCTATTTTCCATTACATCTGCTGCCTATATCACACTTTTTGTTCTGTAAGTAGGGATAAGGTATTGGTTTTCTCCCACATTGCAGCGTCTTAAAGGCTAGTACAGCATATACTTCTGTATCCCCTACTATGCTGGTGCGACATTGAACACTGGACAATTACTTCATCCTATGGTTCTGAATTGAACTCACTTCTCCTCCTACCTGTGCTGTCGATCATTTAGGGCATTTATGAGGTGTCCTGGCTGCCGTCACTGATCTTAGAAGCAACAAACTAAGGCAGATCTGGAGATAAGCCATATATATTAGTGAATCTGAAAGCCCCAACTTTTTGACATGTTCTGAGGGAGATTTTCTCTAAATGGCTGGCAGGGGGTGGGGGTGATCTGCAGATAGGGGTGTCAGTTCAGAGATGCCTGGGGCTTTGGGTGAGTCATGAAGGTGTGAGTTTCGGAGAGCAGAGCAACCGACTCCAAACCATAAGCCTTTCCAGGATTTTTTGAGATCCCAAAGAGTCACAGTCAGGTAGGCCTCACTCCCACACGATGAACTGCCTATACATTGGGACTGTCAATATCAACTAACAAGATGAGATTACTTATTGAACCCTCCTACCTACTTCTGTAAAGTGGCCCCTTGAGTTTCTGTGAGGCTGACCAAATAGCTTAGCTCAAGGGCAGGTAAGCTAAAGTTGGCCACATCTATCTTCCCTACTCCATTTGTGAGAGCTTCGGCATTCACAAAAGCCAGTACACTGACCTTTCCAATACCTCTTCAATATAGTACTCAACTAGTACAAAGTACTAGAGGCTGACACCTTTTGCATCACAGCTTTTGAGGGTATGACAATTCCAGGCTTAGTTGCCTTTTTTCTCTAGACCTATCTTGGATTAATAGACTTGTTTTCTAGACTGTGAAGAAAGGTATTAGAGCCATGCTAAATGTTGTTACTTGTGTTCATTTTCTAATATGCTTATTTCCCACTTTAATAGATCCCATTGATCCCATTTTAATTGATGGAAATTTTCCCCTGACCTTTTCTTCCTTTTCTTTAAGGTGATGGACAGAATCTGTTTACGAAAGACGTGACAGTGATCGAGGGAGAGGTTGCGACCATCAGCTGCCAAGTCAATAAGAGTGACGACTCTGTGATTCAGCTACTGAATCCCAACAGGCAGACCATTTATTTCAGGGACTTCAGGCGTAAGTTTCCATCCCTATAGTTGTAGATGGCAACTTTTTTTTTCCTACCTGTTGTCTTGATAAAAAGATTGCTAAGGCCACCTTTTTTAAATTTAATGTTAGATGCTTAAAGTTTAGTCAATTCTTTAGAGGGAAGAAGAGACAGGCAATCATAATCTTTCTACTTAATAGAAACCTTGAATGGCCCCTTTTAAAAGTAAGGCAGTCTTACTTTGCAATAGAAATTGATTGTAGTAATTCAAGGTGAATTGCAATTGAGTCCCAAATACTTGGCTGACACAAACAACTCCAACAGGGCAAGGCAAAGAAAATACAGCATTCTGAAAGGTAATCCCTTTGGTTTGAAGATTGAAGTTTCCAAGATAATACGTGCCTATAAGCATAAAACCAGGTCTTCTCTCCTCATAGCTTTTGGCATATGGAAGTGTCCATATGCTGAAATCTTTCGAAATGTAACATCACAAAAAACAAAATCACAACTAACTTGTGTATGATAGAAATGGTTCATATGACCGTCAGGGCTTGGTAACGGTAAGAATCAAACCTTTTGGAAAAAAAAATTGTTATTGGAGAGCATTGGTGCCAAACTAAAGTGAAGCATGTCCCTTCCCAGCTGCTTGTCCCCTTCCTCCCCAACACCTCGGGGTCATTCATGACCTGTGGAAAATGGTGATAAACCTAAGGAACATTTAAGAGGATGAGAGACAATAAAAGGAAATAAGCCAGCTTCTTATTCTTAAAGTTAATTTTTGTCATATACTAAGCTAATGTTTGCCAAAATTAAAAAAGGATTTTGAAAGAGAACATTTGAAATAAGTAAGAAGCCCACATATATCAGTTTTGCAGTGATCCTGATTCCCTGCTTAATGCCTAATCAACTTCATACTGTGAAGCCAAATGTACTTAGGAACCGCAGGACCAATTTAAGGCCTCCGTAGGCCCTAGGTCATCCACTTTTGGCAGCTCCACCTCAAATCACATCAAATATGTTAAGGTGCATCCAAGTTAATTAAGCTTATCTTGCTATTAAGATTATTTTATTATAAAGTTTTTAAAATAATTTTTAATTTTGCTTTTGTAATTAATATTAAGGCTTTTTTTAGTTCTGTTTTATAATTAGAAGCCCTTATTTTTGAAGGCCTTACTTAGAATTTTTGAGGCATTTTAAAAGGCTGTAGGCCCTAGTCCCTGAACTTTCAGTACCCAAAGGCTAGGAGGCACTCATTGCTTCAGGGGACGCATGACCTGCTTTTCCCTTTTGTTTTCTTTTCTTCTATCTCTGATAGAAAATCTGAAAACATGTATGAATAAGGTGCTGAAAACTGACAGCATTTGGAATTGTGCCAAGATAGAAGTGTGTGTAGCTGGGTGTGTGTGTGTGTGTGTGTGTGTATACACACTCACTCATGCGTAAGTTTCCTTTGGACAGGGTTATTTGTCTACATGAAGTTACCGCAAACACTTAAAATAGTAAGTCAAGAAGTACCAGATACAGCAAGATTTAATAAATATTTAAGGAAAATAGACTGTCCGTCTACCTTCTAACAATCACTAACTGTATTTTGCTTCACAGCTTTGAAGGACAGCAGGTTTCAGTTGCTGAATTTTTCTAGCAGTGAACTCAAAGTATCATTGACAAATGTCTCAATTTCTGATGAAGGAAGATACTTTTGCCAGCTGTATACTGACCCCCCACAGGAAAGTTACACGACCATCACAGTCCTGGGTAAGAAATGCATGTGGCGCTTACACAGGGAAATGGAATGGGGATAGCCCTTACTAGCAGACAGCTTACAGCAGCAAGGAAAGGGTTAATGGTGAAATCTCCTGTTCAAACTTGTTTCAGGAAGAATCACCGCCCATCTTGCTGAATTTTAAAAATAGCCTATTTTACCAAATGCTCTAAGGAATGGCAATCAGCAGTCTTTACAGATTCCACCTGCTCTTGGGTTTCAAACCTCAAGCTTCAGAAGCAAAGATCAAGAGAATTTAGAGCCCTCAAATGAATCACTCACCACATGAAATGTTATTGCTTTTAACTACCGGGATTTTTTTTCTTCCTTCTGTGCAGGAGAAGGGGAGATGGGCTACCAAATCTATACCCCATGGCAGAGCTCAGTTATGAAATCCACGTAATGATTTTCCTTCTGAGTTACATCCTCATTTTAATGTTGTTGATCTCCTTTTCATTGGCTTGACTTATGGCCTTGTTTATTGCCTATACTCTAGATTATGCTGCAAAAAATTATGCCCCGTGAACATATATTTTGCCACAAATTGCAGTCATTGGACATAAAAGAGTTAAGAGCACTTTAACTGATAATAAGCAAAGAACTGTTGACAGGCTGCTAAGGCACACCTCTAGTAGGCTGAGTGTCTTCATTTATGATCACCAGATTGTGAGTTTCAGCAAAATCCCAGTAGTCGGGTTTCCATGTTTATATTTTAATATAGTCAGCTGATATTTCCGTGTTGAAGGTGGTCTGAATTAGTCACCTTTAGACAAACTTATTCTAGTGCATAACACCAGCTGATTTGGATTTTCTTGAAACTGAATTTTCAAGGACATACACCATAGCATGAGGCAAGATATCTGATTTACACCTTCGGGAAGATGATGAATCAAAGTCTATTTGAGGCGGCAGACTGCAGCTTTTCAGTGTAATGATACCAAGATTAAAGAGGAAAGATAAATATGAAGGACATTTTTTCTTGGTATGTGTGCACATATATGTATTTATGGATGTACATATTGAGCTGCTGCCTCATTACTTTATTTAAACACAGCTGTAGAAGGGAAAATTTTTTTATTCATTAAGCTAAAACATATCCCTAATGCTCATATATATGTTCTTGATAAGAGGAGTACTGATAAAGTTGTGTTTAAAATCTGTCCATATAATTTCTAATCTGGTTTGTGTTTAATGGTAGATGGCTTTCAGGTAGTCGTATTTGCCACTATTATGGTCTTTACCCAGATTAGACCTGTAGAAATAGTAAGCATGGAAGGTTTTGCTGGGATGACTATTTTGGTATTTTGCAGATATATCAAATTCACAAGCATAAATTTGAAGTTTTCTGTCTATTTGCTTGTATCAGAGTATTTGAAAACTCTCTTTGCTTATTGGAGTAAGTCATTAGCAATATAAACTTCAAATTGACCATCTACTCATTCATCCTTTGACTCAACATCATTTATGGAATTTCCACAAAAGTGACAATCATAAAATAAAATCTATTTATGGTATTTTTAACTTTCAGAGTATTTTACTACATATACCTTTTTGTATTTATATGTTGTTTTTGCAGGAGTGAAATCATAATGACAGGTTAGACATCTTGCCCAGGTTACAAAGCACTCAGTAAGAATCAAGAATCTTAGAATTTGGAATAGACCTTACAACTTTGTCGTACAATTACAACCTTTGTGTCTTCCGGTCTATGTTGTCTTTAGTTAAATACCGAATACTTTTGTTTTAAGATTTTTTTTTTTCTTAAAGGCGCACATCTTTTGTTTTCAGGAGTATATCTGGCCATTGGCAAGAAGCTACTACTGCCTGTCATTTTCTAGTGCCTGGTACATTTGTTCTCAAAACCACTGCTTTGGATCAGTTTGGCTTTGAATATACCTTGTGCTTGGGAGCCAGTGTGCCAGCACTAGAATTTTGAGAGGCATTATGCCTGTAATCTTTTTTGAGGTCTGATTATTCTAGTAGTAATATGTTCCTACTTGTATTTTATAGAATCATTAACTTAAATATACTTGAAAGTAGCACTTTCAAGTATAAAAAGTAGTAGATGTTCTTTCTGCAGATATTATGCATTCATTTAATATTCTTTCCATTTAATTTACTCTAAGATTCCTTGACAGAGTAAAATTGTTGTCATCAGTGTTTGAGTCTTTCATTTTCCAAAATCTGACAATTTCCACTGATACTAGTATATTCAAACCTTTCTCATAAGGTTTAGAGTTTTCAGATATTATAATGAATGAAGAATGACATTAGCATCTTCGTTGCTATCTGCAGTTCTCTGAAAAGGACACCATGTGTACTTAACACAGCTGTCAAATTTCTTGATAGGTTGAAGATGCTCATTTTAGTGCATATGTCTATTAGTTATTTGATGCATTCCGTAAAAACTTCAGCATAATTATAAGATACAGAGATGAGTATTTGTTAATGTTGTCTATGCTATTCTGTAGTTACTATTATGCTTATGATTTTATCCATGTAAACTCTGAAGACTCTCCTATGATATTTTGCATGCATTTGGTGCCTTTAAGGATATTCATTGATTCCTTCCACTTGTGATGATTTTGTTTCTTTCTCCAGAACATACTGTAGAACTCTCTTTATACTACTATTCATGAGAAGAGATGAATGAGACAGATAATACACTTCTTTAAGATTAATATAGTTACTGATAATAGTAGCCAATATTATCACAGTCCTGTCCTTCTAAGATTAGTGTTCATTTTTAAGATTCCAGGAACAGGAGAACCTAATTATTTGAAAGGGTCTTAGAGTGGGATTTCACATACTGATCAGCTTTAAGACTCCTCTTTTGTTGTAATTAATGTGACTCATCTTGATATTGCTGATTTTTGTTAAATGTTGTAGGCGTAATGTTTATAATTAGCACTCTTATAGATTTGAGGTTAGCTAAGAAGAACCTTGACATTTCATTGCTGTTTTATAATATTTCCCTCTATGTAATTTTCATTCAGGTTTTCATCTATATGCCCCTCCTTAGAAATATCTTTGGTTATTTTCATTAATGGCTGCAGGCAGTTATTACTAAATGTGCCTCTTTAGTGGACCATGTGTAAGTATATTCTCTGGTTAGCGGCAGTTTTAATTCATTTTTCTTACAAATGGATTTTTATACTTTACTAACCTTTTGTGTTAGAGTAGACATTATGAAGTTAAAGGAAAAACAGGATAGAATTATAGACCAAAATAAATTTTAAGATTTTTCTTGTCCAACCCTTTATTTCAGAAAAACAGATTTAAATTACCTCATTTATATTTTTTAAAGCTTTCTTGCTCTTAAAAAAAAAAAAAAAGCTGAGGAAAGTCAACTTTATAACATATCAATAAACTATTATGATTCACATTATCAGATTTTATTTTATAAACTAAACACCTCACAGTATACATGCCTATTTCTTCTTCTAACCTTAGCAAAGATTGGAAATATTGGTCACAATCTTGAGAAAACTATTTATGGGCTTGGAAAAAAAATCAGTATTTCACAGAATGGTGATTTCAACAATAAATAAGTCCTGTATTATTCCACACTGGGCACTTTTTTTTTTTTTTTTTTTTTTGGACAGAGTCTCACTTTGTTGCCCAGGCTGGAGTTCAGTGGTGTGATCTCAGCTCACTGCAACCTCCACCTCCCGCATTCAAGTAATTCTCCAGCATCAGCCTCCTGAATAGCTGGGACTACAAGAACCTGCCACCTCACCTGGCTAATTTTTGTAATTTTGGTAGAGACAAGGTTTTACCATGTTGGCCAGGCTGGTGTCGAACTCCTGACCTCAGGTGATCCACCCACCTCTGCCTTCCAGAGTGCTGGGATTACAGGCGTGAGTCATCACAACACTGGGCACATTTTCTAATGCTTTTGAAGTTTTCTACATTTTTACCTTAGCCATAAAGCTGAAGATGATGTCAGCTCTTTGGGCATATAATTCTAGGAACTAGCACTGGTTCAGGACTCACTCTGAAGAGTTGCAGAATTTAGTTATAGAATATCTGTTGCAATTGTTTGGATAATGCCAAACAATAAATAATCCAGGTGAGGACCTAGCTGCCTGTCAGGCTTTTAGCCTCCAAACGAAATTTGGAGGAAACATTGGTGAATTTTTCTCAATTCTTATCTGTACCTTATCATTCCCTTACTTTGAACCAGCAGACATTATTGATAATTGGAAGGAACATACCATCATCTTTATGAACCAAATAGGGGCAATAAAGACCTCCCACCGAGAAATACCATTGAAGATGAACAGACAGTGGAGGTTAGGAGAAGCTTGGGGTAAGCAGAGATAAGGGGTTTCCAAGCCCAGCATGAAAACCGAGAGAATGAAGGAAAGATATCCAGGAACACAGGCCAGAACTATCTGACAGAGTATGTTTGTGGCTAAATTCCACTAAGACTCAACAGAGAGACATAAAGGAGTCTTTTAATAACTGCCGGATCTGTTGCATTAGGAAGATTCCCGTGTTTCCACAGAGTGACCATCAAAGTGTTTCTCCCAAAGTCATACAGATAAAATGGGATCTGATCTGCCCCGTTCCCTAGGGATTTCCAAGGTTGCCAGTGGCTTTAGCCATTTGCCCTGTTGTCATGTCAGAGAGCCACCTTCCTAATGGCCTAGCCCATCAGTTACGTTACTCCATTACAGCTCTCATTAGGAACCACTGCCTATGTCAACATGAAAAATTATTTTCGTTGCTCTTATTTTTATTTTTTCCTGAACCTTGAAAGGTATCTTTTTTTTTTTTTATTTTACTTTCATTTCTTCATTTGTTGAGAAGACACTCCTATATTTGTTACACCTTAATTGTTTTCTTTTCATTTTTTCTTATACCACTTTTTAAGGTCTTATTTTCTTTAGGCGTTTTCTCTGACATTTCTTCTAACAATTAGCATGTAAAAAAATATACTGCACTCAGAATAAAGTAGTATTTATTAGTCCTAAACATCTAGTCTCTCCATGTATCCCCTATCAACTGTCTAGGTACATGTGCTGAAAATCTGTAACCTACCTGACTATCATCTAGCATGGATAAACTATGTTAAGGATACTGCTAGTTGAAGTCATTCCATTTCTTTTGTTACAGCCTTTCTGTGTCTCATAAAATGCTAGCAGATGTGCAACTCTAAATTAGATGTTAAATTATATCTCTTTTTGTTTATTTTTTCTTAAAATGTAAACTAGTGTTGTTCTTTGCCATGTTTAACTACTCATTTGGGCCATATCATATTAGCAACACATCCAGTTGAGCAAATATATTGTTTTCCTTGTACTTAGGAAACAAAAGGAATGCTTTCGCTCTACTTATTACACCCCCCACCACCAACACCACCAAACACTATCTTGCTAAGGAAATATGTGCAACAAATCATTTTACTTTTACTTTTCTATCATTCTCTATAGGAATTTTCAACTGTTCCAATTCAGTGTAAAAGTCTTCCTGTGGGCAGAATTTTCACATTGTGGACTAGAACAGTTGGAAATCCCAAATACATGGTTTAATCCCATAATTTATTGAAGTAGTATCAGAGATTTATTATTCAACTTGATCCTCAGGATGGCATGTTTATACATATTTAATTTCTTGTTTCTCTTCTGAGTTGAGAAACTTATTAATCATAAGTCTCAGAACTGTCTTTGCTTATTCATGGTGGTCAGGACACATATTCTTAGATTCACTGTACTGAATTCAGTATTCCTACTGGTTTTTATTTCAAGAGGCTCAGTCCTGAGGTAAGGTTGCACATGAAGTTTTACTGTCAACTCAGTTTCATAAAAGATAACATATTTTATCATCATCATCATCATCATTACCATCACACTATATACTTTTGATTTGATAGTATTTCACTCCCAAATCTGTTACTTTGACTATTTTATCACATATATTTTGATATGCCTACAAAAGAGTGGTTTAATTCTGATATGTAAATCTACTTATAAGCACTTAAGAGTCTCTTTCATCTTTGGTTTCCAAAATCTGGAGCACTGGAATTCAGAATCTGGAAAATTGCTGCAAACGAATTGGCATTTCTTATATTACTCTATCTTCATATCCAAAGGATTTTATTACTACATTATCCAGCAGAGGTTGTGATTATATTCTGGATCTCTATGAATCATTTTAATTACATGGAACTGGTATGAGACACAGTTTTCCTGTGCATTTTATGGTGAGTGATTCTTTTAAGGGACTTAGAGATTTTTATCTTTGCTGGTTAACTTTGGAATCTTTCATTTGAAGATTGAAATTCAAGAGTTGAGTTCACGCAGGAATACTGCTTTTGGGAGTTTCCTGATAAGGATGATCATTTCAATAGTATGTACTCCTCTTTTATACCCACTTTCTGGTTAATTTTTGAATGACTGGCAACTAATATCTATATTGTTATAATGTGCTCAGTGATAACTTAGGAGTGAGACACTGGTTATTTTATTTTTTACTGTTTTTGAGACAGAGTTTCCCTCTTGCTGCTGAAGTGCAATGATAGAATCTCGGCTCACCGCAACCTCCGCCTCCCAGGTTCAAGTGATTCTCCTGCCTCAGCCTCCCGAGTAGCTGGGATTACAGGCATGCACCACCACGCCCAGCTAATTTTGTATTTTTAGTAGTGACGGGGTTTCTCCATGTTGGTCAGGCTGGTCTTGAACTCCTGACCCCAGGTGATCTGCCCACCTCGGCCTCCCAAAGTGCTGGGATTACAGGCCTGAGCCACTGCGCCCAGCCACACTGGTTATTTTATAACATAAATTTAGGATAGAAATTCTAAATTAACTGATTTTGCATAATTCACCTTATTTGATATGACTTTGTATTTCTTTTTTCCCTCTTACTGTGATTTGTTTTAAATTCCAGTCAGGAATGTTATAGTAACAATACAAAATGCATTCTGTGTTTATAAAGCACCTATGTTTAATTTGTAGTCCCACCACGTAATCTGATGATCGATATCCAGAAAGACACTGCGGTAGAAGGTGAGGAGATTGAAGTCAACTGCACTGCTATGGCCAGCAAACCAGCCACGACTATCAGGTGGTTCAAAGGGAACACGGAGCTAAAAGGTGAGCTGCAGATTGCCACATACTGAAGCAGTTAGTTGATTCTGGCAGGCAGGCCTTTGTGAAAATCAAGAACAAATATAAAAGATGCCCGTGAAACAAAACTATTCATTCAGATATTGTTTATAATCAGTTACTAAATATGTTTGAGGCCAAAGCATAACAGCATTTTATTGTCCTAATCCATGTCCTCATTCTGCTGTTTGAGGGTTCATGGTAATATCTGTTGCTCTACTCACATGCCCAGAAAGAACTAAAACTGTGGACTAGAACTCTTTATGCCGGGAGAAACTTTGGCGAGGACTGTCTGTTGAGCTCAAGCTGTCTCTGTCTGTACCTTCTATTCTCATTGCTTTTACCCTATCTTTTGCAGAGACCTAGAGGGGATCAGAACCCCAAATTTTCAGGGTATACATTTAAAAAAATGTTTAACAAACTTTCATATGGTAAATTGCAAGTCATTCTGACATCTGTTACACTATCAACTGTGTTGACTATATGCTTTCCTACAAGAGTGGCTACACTAAGTGGACTAAGAATTTCATCTTAATTGTGGATTTACAGGGACCCCCTTTCTTGTGAAACCTGTGATTCAGTTGCCCAATTCACCAGCCTGTTGCACTGTCTATGATTTTGTGATGACAGTACAAGGCAGCTCCTTTAGCCCCGTTCTGATTGTCTGCTTCAGTACTGGTCATCCCGGGTTTGAGTCCTGGATCCTCAAATACCTGCTATCTTAGGTGTTGGATCAGATAAAGAAGACAGCATATACCCTCTTTGTCCATTTTTTGCCAGTTATCTTAAGTTCCACTTGTATTTCTGCATTCAAATTTCTTCCTTTTCAAAGTTGCTCTGCAGGTAACACACTGCACAAAGGTCATAGGGCTGAACTCTTCCACTTAAATGACAGAAATGCTAGTGGTGTGCTTCAGTTTCCTCTAAAATGGGGACAATCATATTACATACTTTATGGCATTTTTATGAAGATGAAATGAGTGAATAGTTGTAAAGTATTTAGCTAATACTTGGGCCAAAGTAAGTGCTGTATATGTGCTTGTTAAATAAATAAAGAGCATAAGAAAGAAAAGAATCAGCCCTTTTAGAAAGAGGATATAGAAATCTATATCTGGAAGCAGATAAATCTATATATAACAGCTTAAGTTTCAAAAAGCTTGTTCTGTTTTAATCTCCTATTTCCTAGGTATGGTTTTGGAAGGAAGGAGTTTCTCATTTCCTCTCTGCTTTTCTGTCTAAGTGAATTCAGCCATTAAATGTGTACCGATAAGTACAAAACATTAAAAGAAAGTTAATGATTTGCCATGTTCCTGGGAGTGCTGAGTTCAGGAAGGGACTGCCTTGGCCTATTCATTCCATCCGGAAGCCTCCTCACTCCTTTTCTGGGTGTTCTTGGACGTGTCTCCCATCTGGCCCCAAGCCCTGTATCTTACTTTGCTCTAGTCCACTGCCACTGCATTTTTGTGGTCTTCCAAAAGTCTCAGAGTTTAAACATTTCAATTACAATTTCAATTATGTAAATCCATTTAGTTACTTTCTTTCTTAATTGTTGATGATGGGGGTAGGCAAAGGGGGTTGTTTGTAACTCTACTGCTTATTGAATTACTTAGGGGATTTGGATGATGTCCTAGAATTTCTAAATGGCCTGACAGCCTAGTCAATATTTCAAGTTCAGATGGTTGTAGGGGTGATAACTATTTTTCTTTCTCTCCTCCTGAGTACCTTGAGCAGCCAGACAGCAGACAGTCAGCTGTCTTTTTCTGGGAGGTGTTAAGATAAAAGAAACATACATAATATATTTTAGTAAAAGTAGTGTATGTTATTTGGAATTGAAATATATCTTAAATGCTATGCTGCCAAGTTGAAAAGTCGGGAATTAAAGAAATAATCGTTTTATCAGGTAACTATCCATAGATTACTCTCATCCCAGCTAACTGCCATCATATTTGTTAAAATAGCAATGTTGGGTTAGAGGACAGAGGGGAGGACATAAACACAAACTGATGGAAATTCACCCAACTCTGGTTTCTTGGTACACTTTCTGTTCCCCAGGGAAATCGGAGGTGGAAGAGTGGTCAGACATGTACACGGTGACCAGTCAGCTGATGCTGAAGGTGCACAAGGAGGACGATGGGGTCCCAGTGATCTGCCAGGTGGAACACCCTGCGGTCACTGGAAACCTGCAGACCCAGCGGTATCTAGAAGTACAGTGTGAGTACCCTGGTATCTTATTCCGAGAGTGGTAGAGATGCAATTACCTAGAAACTCTTCAGAAGCCATTTATTCAATGCATTCATTTTATATAACATACATAGAATTCTTATTTTTCGTAGAAAAATAAAGGATTATTTTACTGAAACACTGTACTGCCATATTACAAAATGCCAATGAGGATTTGAAAATGCTACATTGAACCCAAAGGTAAAACTGAAATGATTTCAGTCTGCTGTAACACATGACTTAATTAATTAATTTCGTTGCATATAGACTGTCAGCATTTCTGTGCCAATTGCAAAATCTAGGGTAATTTCCCCCCTTTTTAAATCCCATTGTAAGTACTAAAGTTTTTATAGAAGGGATTTTATTCCCATTCTACATCAGAATTTTGTTTTAAATGGCATGTCCTTTTCTGTTTTATCTTAAATTATAGCAATGAGTTGAAAAGTCGATGCTTTGGGGTCATTGCCACAATCTTGATGGCTTCATCAATAAAAGCTAGATCGTAGTGAATGAGGTTTTGTCCTTACCAGGCTCTGTAGACTGAATATGTTCTCCCCCTCTTCTCCTCTGGACCCTTCTGCTTAAGAGGAAAAAGTACTTTTCTGCACAAATCCATTCTTATGCCAAGGTTGTGGCTAAGTAGCCAGCTTCTTACTTTTTATCAAAAAGCGAGGGGAAAAGAAAAAAAAAACAGCTTCTCATTTTGTATCTGGCTTCTGAAAAATCAAGGTGATATTTGAGTACGCATAGTGAAAATGTTACCAGAGTTTGGTTGGGATGGCAGTGACTGGATGTCTCATGAAAGAAACTTTGTGAATCCTTGGATTAATTTCCTAGGGCTGCCATAGCAAATTATCACAAACTTGGCAGCTTAAAATAGCAGAAATTTCTTTCCTTACAGCTCCGGAGGCCAGAAGTCCAAAACTGAGGTTTTGGCAGGACCACACCTCCTCTCCCACAAAGGTTCTAGGGGTACATTATTCATTGACTTTTCCAGCTCTGGGGGTCCCAGAAGCTCCTTAACTTGTGGCTTCACCAGTCCGTTCTCTGCCTTCATCTTCACATGGCCTTCTCCTCTGTGGGTCTCTCTTCTGTGTGTCTCTTATGAGGACACTTGCCGTTGGATGTAGGGCTCACCCATATAATCCAGAATGACCTCATCTCCAGATCCTTAATCTGTAAAGACCTTTTTTTTTTTTTTTTCCCCAAATTCAGCTACAGTCACAGATTCCAGAAGTTAGAACATGAACATATCTTTAGGGTTCACCATTCAACTCCATAAAATCCTTAGCATGTGTCTTAATCATCTGAGCAAAATGGGGTGGGGGGCGGGTGGAGTGGGAAAAGTTAAAAATAGTTGCTTCTAAGACACCATCTCATTCCAACCTTTTCTTAACTTCATGAGCTTGGCTCAATTTAACATTACATAATACAGGGGTTTCTCATTAATTCATTTCATCTGCTTCATTATAAAGCGTCATTATGGGCATCATGCTTATAATTTTCATATCACTAAAACTATTGTGGTATAATGTCCCTATAATGGGAAAACAGAAATGATCAGATATTATCTAAATTAGCAGATAGTAGATTTCTTGTGACTTTGTTAATATGTAATTCATTTAAGCAAACTTAATATCCATTAACTTTCCTTGTAGGGGCCCATTAGCTTTAATAATACATTAGCTCTTTGTATGTCCTGAGTAGATATTCACCCAGTTTCCACCCCTGAACTCTTTCAGTATTATACCAGAGTATCTTTTAAATAGAATACAGTCCCACCCACCTACAAAATTACCCTCACTCCCAGATGCAAAATATTTCAAGTGCTATACCTCCTACTTCTTGGAAAACTTGATAATGATCCTCATAAGGCTTGTTTTCCATATTCTGTCGATTCAAGGGACATTTGTCCTTTTAAGAAAAGGAATAAAGCACCACATCTGAATCCATTTGATGTCAATCTAACAAAGTACTCGTAGCCTTCTATTGCAGGAAAGTGACTCTAATTCCCTCCAAAAACAAGGATGTACCAATTGATCATTTTAAACTCTAATATGGCCCCTTTTTGTGGGAGACTCTCTGTTTTTTTATCCAAGAAAATCACTCAAATATGTTAGCCCTTATTACACTTTTTGGAATACACATAAGGAAAAAAATATTTTTTGTATAAAGGTAAGTTAAGAATTACAAAGCATCACATTAACCTGAATAGAACTTTGGGTCTGTTTTGATATCTTAAGTTAGGCTCTCTCTCTATGCTCAAGAAAGCTTACTGCCCTCCACTCCTAGAGTACTGAGAACTTTGCAGAGTCAGCCAGGAATTCCTTTTGTACCTTCTTCAAACACAATTGGAATTCTCTACATCATATCCTACTAGCTTTACTTTCCTTGAACACTAGCAGCTGTGCAGTAACAAAAAGCCTCATTCCTCAAATGCCTGAAACACTCAGTCACTGAGCCCTGAAGTCTGATCAGTCATTGCCCGGTACTGTTGATGGCTCAACTCCGATGCCCCCCACAGCTGTCCTTTTCTCTGCAGAACAGTAGTGCCATATCTTGATGACCATGAGGAAAGAAGAGACACTTGAATACATGAGATTCCTAGAATAATTTATTCAGTAGCCAGTCTGCATGGAGGTTGAATTATTTTGGATGGCTGCGAGGAGTAACATTGCACCTGTATTTTAATATTGACTCATGCCCTTGAAATCAGCAGTTCTTAACCTTTTGGGGATCATTGGCCCCTTTAAAAACCCTTTGATAGTTATAGACCTGGAAAAGATGAATACAAGCACATATTCACTATATTCTACTTACAGTCTAGGGAGTCCATTTACCCCTCAGGGTTTTCCTAAATCCAGTTATTTGAGGACAACTTTCACAATTTTGCCATATTTATGGGTCATCTGTATTTTTACCTGACTTAGAATTTTTCTTTAAGTCACTTTATTGCTTTAGCCTAACCAGGACCTATGTAAAAATATCTATTAAATATACATTTCATTTGTTATGTGTAGTGTCTAATAAGCTTTAAAATAAATGTACAACTAATTTTTTTCAATGTCCTTTCCTTTGCTACCTAAAAAGATTTCTTACATTCTCAGTGAGAAACAATAGGTTTTCACTAGGAAATACTGATCCCATTCATGGACCTCAGAGTCTACTCTGAGTAAATAAGGCTACCATGGGGGCAAATCTAATCTGACATATTGGTATTAAATACACTCACTTGGTTTAAGCCTGGCCGATTTTGCTCCATGAAGGTTTATGGAAACCTCTCTTTATCCCCATCTAAGATGAATGGATGTTAACCAGGACATGAACAGGGTTAAATGACAGATCATGGGTTTGAATTCTACATGAAGGAATTTTTTTAAAAATACTATTGAAAAGGAAATGAAATAATGAAAACCTGCATTATATGTCATTAAATATCTTAGTTTAAATATGACAGGCAAAAAAAAGAGGAGGGATAAAAAGAAGGGAAGTATTACACTTCTCTCCTTAAAATGGAGTGCCACCATATTGTATAGAAGACAAGCCTTGAGCTACAACTTGGAATTGCTTTTGTCTTATGGAATTAAGTCCTAATTAATTGAACCAGGATTTTGCAGTGTTTGTTTGTTAGGACCCTTATTTGTGATACCAGGAGAAATTGTTGTGCCCAATTATGTGAAAAATCAGCCAGATGTGTGTGCTGTCATACTTTTAATAATCCTTAAGTTTTCGGTGAGTACAGATATTAATTGTGTAGTATGCATTGAAGTGATTAACATCAATGTAATTTATCATCTGGAGATTTCTGAACATAAATAAATGAGTTGTTTTGTTCAGCAAGGTGTTGACCCCTTCAGAATCAGTAAATTAAAGTCCCCCCCTTTTTTATTATAAATATGAAAGGCACCACAATCAGCCAAGTGTTCAGTTATTTGATTTTCTGGGGCATTAGCCACTCTTGTTTGTGACATTTCCCTGTTGGGTGCTCGTTTGCAAGCTCATTAATAAGGTTTTCTCATAGGAACGTTCCTGGGAATGAAGAACATACAGTAGGGCTCTTAGTTTTCTAGCTTTCATTCTGAGACTCAGCAAGGGTACAGCAGCAGCACGCAGTTAAATGTTTAAAACAGATAATTATGCTCCCAAGCTAGAAGAGCTCAAAGCTCTCTTTCCTCAGATGTTATGCAGAGAACCATTTTGCTTTTTAATGTTCCGAGCTGTATGACCCTAAAATCTTTCTGTGCATTTTTTTCTTGCGAATATCTGTACAGGTGGTGTTGCCCAAATTTACAACATGGTTGATTATAGCAGAGCGTGATACAATTGTAGCACGGTTAGTAGAGCTTCAGATCTGAGGGAATGTACTCTTGTCAAATAAAAGCCTGTTTAAACGGGAACAGTTCACTGTCTGAGCGTTGAGAGAAAACTGTCTAAATAACATCAAGGTGGCAACACATAGCGACATAAGCTGCGAATTCAAAGAAAAGCTGTGACCCTCAGTATGGAATTCAGATTGCTTTGCACAAGGGAGGAAAGCCTTCCTCTGGACTGGGGTGAATACGAAGCTTCTGAATTACTGCTGTGTGGCTTTTGCTTTCACCCACATAGCCTCGCTCTTTAAAATGTTTGGCAAAAATTCTCATTTTGTGAGGGTTTTGTGTTTGTACATATTTGAAAAAAAAGAAAGAAAGTTCAGAGATGAGTTTTGAAAGGAAGAATGAAAACAAAGACAGACTCTAGCAATAGGTGTTTCAATGCCTTGCCTGCTCTGATTATCATCTGACAGTTAATCATGTACGTGGGCATCATTTTCAAAATGAGTTTTATTGACTGCATGTAGCTAGGTATTTCAGAAATCCATAGCTCTGTTCATCCAAGGTCCAGAGAAAGGTAGATGTTTTTTTTCTTTCATTCCCTCAACTGGAGGAAAATTGGGCATTGAGGAGATGATCAAAACCTGTTCTTTATCTGTGCCAAAATAAATGTTTCTC